AGGTCGCGTTGGAGCTGGGAGGGGGCCTCGGAGCTCTGTGTAGTTGGACCTGGTTGATTTAGTCATAATGGAGTGAGTCTAATTAGTTTTTTATACAAGAATATGTCGGGTACAGGAGAATAGTCGGCAAGAATCTACTAACTTTCTTTGCTAACGCTGCCGTTATCGGTATCGATAGAAGGAGTGGGGCTAGCTCTCTCTTGTCTAATGACACCAGCCTCGACCGTAGACACTAGAATGTGGAGAAGGATGGGTATCAGTTTATTGTTTCGATCTGTTATGGACAGAAAGAAAACAACTAGTGAGGAGAATCTTACTTCTTTCAAGGTATCTCTTGCGTTTGAGTTGATTATTTTTTTCGCGAATTTCACGGAGAAATTTTCTGAAGTTGATCTGTTGATCTAGATCTTCTTCTTGGTGAACGTGAGCGTGGTAAGTCGCAAGAAGGAGTTGCTCTTCGTCGGATAATTTTTCCCAAGGAGTCGGAATATAGTTTCGATCTGATTCTTCTTTTCGCAACCTAAGGTGGACAAGATAGCGCTGAATCAACTCGGCGTTCTCTTGGAGATTCACTAGAAAAAATGAAAAGTAGGATTTGTTTTTTAGGAAATTTTTTTTATTTGAGATAAAAATTGGAGAGAAGCGGTAAAAAAATGAGATATAATTTTTTTTTTCTAAGGGTTTGGTTTTTTGTAGAATAAGAGGGATATATTTTTTTCTTTATGTGTATTTTTTCTGTAGTAATAGAAAAGAGGACCGTAAAAAAAAAGGTAATTTTTATAGGTTTATAATTTTTTTGTGAGAAAAAAAAAGATGAATAAAATCCAGGTATCTTATTTTATTAAAAAGGAGGTTTTTTTTAATAAAATCTTCCCGGCCAGACCCCCAATTGTCAGCCTATGTGATGCCAAGACACAAGTCTTCTAGCTACACAAGGTGCAAAACTAAGAGTTTTTATGGTAAAAACTCTGGGATAAAGGATGGAACAAGTAATTCAAAAGAATTACGTGGATTTTATGGATTAAATCAAAAATGTGGCCAATTTATATTAATAAAATTAATATAAATAAAACCAGAGGGGCCTGATAAATCAGGGGTGGTTTAATCCCTCTAAGGTATCGTGCAAAAAAGCAGAGGATTTAGGTACCTGATACACTGGGGCCTGTAGCAGGTGTGGTTTAAATCCCAGGAGATAATTTTAAGGGAAAAATCTTCAAGAAAGGGTTATTACTTACTAGTAATAATCCTAAGGGGTCTTGAGGATCTTCAGGGCAGAAACTGGACAGTTGGGAGCGCTCAGAATTGTTGGTCTTGGGTGCTGGGTGATAACTGGGGAGTTTCTTGAGGAGTCTTGAGGCTTTAATAACAGCAAAAATAGTAATAACTAGGCTAATTACAAGTGTAGGGGACTTGTAAATGGTAAGTAAATTTCTATAAGGTATTGTAAAGCTGGGGGATCATTATTTGGGCGGTCAGAAGGCCCTTTAAATACCTGTGGAAGGCCTCAGGGGTTGCCCAGGGGAGCTTAGTAGGTCTTGAGCGCGCTTGTCGCACTTGTTGGGCCATTTTGGCCCACCTGGAGACGTAACAAGGGCTGAAACCTTGGGGAAAACATTCTAGAAGCTCCAAGGGGTCAAGCACGAGTTTATTTGAACCAAGAATATTCCTTGGGAGCCTGTGGGTAAGGGGTAGTCTGTTACGTGGAGCCATTACCTTGGAAATGGGCCACAGAATGTGCCAGAACTGGTTTCTGGGGCTTGTTACACGTGCTACAAACTGGAATATGGAATATCCAGAGTTACTGTAGTAATTTAATGAATATTCTAGCTTGTTTATATTTTTATTACACGTGTGGGGGGCTTTGTTGACATGTGCACAGTGAGTTTCTGGGGCTTTTGTGGCCAATTCCTTGGATACTGGTAACCCAGAGGGGGTTATGCATGTATCCAAGGCGGGCAGGCATACCTAGCACGCGCGGGGGCTTGAGCCTTGGGCTCAATTGTAGTTAGGCGCGCCTGTCAACAGTGCGCAGCATGACTACGCGGCGCGCGGGCTTGGAGACAGTACACGCCACGCTGGTCTATCTTCCAAACTATACACAACACTCCAAATCTGAGACAAAATTTGGAGTATATGCATATTGTCATGTGTAATGCATAATTATTCAGGTGCCCGTGATCCATGGGTACCTGTTAATTCTTCAAGTGAGTATTACATGATGAAGGAGTTATAATTAGGGGTACCTTTGGCTGAGGTACCCTAGGTTAAATTATGCGTAGATTCAGAATTTGTAATAATAATTAAAGTTTTATCTACTATTTCTAAGTTATTTATTTATTTTGTGTATTTTTTATAGTATTTACATAAGTAATAGTGTTTCTTTTACTTATGTAATATTTTTACTTTATACTTAGATTTTTTATATAATTTATTATTTTATTTGCTTATGATAGGTTGTCTCTGCCATAGTAGCAAGCTGACACAACCACCCCTACAATCACCACCCATTATATTACAAGTCACAGTTATATAACCACCCTTATTTTATCGCAATATATTCATAACACTTTCATATCATCATCATCATACCAAGTGCCCAGTCCCCTGTTCCATTCCTGGTTGAAGCATAGTGCTCCCAGCGCCCAGCGCCTTGGTTCCAAATCACCTCTTTTTAACTTTATATACCCTCAACCTCAAGGACCTGCGTTCAATCCTCAACCTCAACAACAATCTTTGACACCTCTATCAACAACTTCATCAACAACAACATCATCATCAACAATCACCATCAACACCTTTAACCGTTATACGAATCATTCGACAGCTTCATCTCGAACTATCCTCTATCACAATATATAAACTGCCAAGCTGAGCTTGGTGGTCTTGTTGTTCTGATAGCATAGAAGGGCAGAGCTTGCAACTCCATCATCCCCTTCTCCATTCAGCAAAAGGGTTTCACAACCACTTTTGAGTCTTACACCGACCAGCTCCATCAGACCTCATTCTTTGATCCCAAACAGCTTCTACTCACCCCAAACGTCAATCGCTTATCTTTCAGGTAGGTTACTTATCCTTTGCTTATCTAGCCTGTGCAGCCTGCAGATATTTTGCTGAAATTTCTTCTTGGTTCCTGAACGGCATTTACCCAAAACAAATCTTCATTCCCTTATCTTTTAGGTACGGTTTATTACCCTCAGCCTCTTACAGACCGCAAACTGCTGATGATGACTTACTTTTGCTCAGAATGGGTGGTTTTGTCCTATACCACCCAGCAACAAAGGTTGCTGCAGTTCGCATGCTAATACAAGGTCACGAACAGTCGTTCATTTGGACTGCCCTCGGCGAACCAATCTCCAGACAATCGTTTAACCGCTGGCTGGAACTCTATCAACATACCCGATGTGTCATACGAAACCCGCAAGAGTACGAGCAGCAAGGAGGTCCCTCCCTTCTGTCCAACAGTGACACCGATTTCATGACCAAACTAGTTCAAGACGAACCGGGCCTTTTTTTGGATGAAATGTGTGAGCAATTATACGACGAAAACGGTACCCTCCTCTCTGTAGAGGCTATTCACCGCAACCTGGTAGTGAAGCTTTTGATCACTCTGAAGAAGCCAAGTACTATGAACATACAGAAATGCTTGATAACCAAGTATGGCTATATTGAGAAGATGCAATTTGTTCCGGCTGAATTCTTGGTGTTCACTGGTAAGTTATTTCACCTTGCTTATGGCTGGCCAGTAGCACTGCTGAGGGCTCATATTTTTACTTTTGCTCCTAATATTTAGATGAAAGTGCCATTTGTGACCGGGATCTGCTGCGCAACTTTGCTCGTGCTCCAAAAGGCTCTCCCTCAGCTTGGTTTGTTGTTAACCAGAACCCCAATCAAATTAGTGTCCTACCAGCAATCAGTCTTTCGGGGATACTTGCCATGGCCGTTACTGACAACACTTTCAATGGTAGGAAGTGGGATGACTTCCTTGAGTGGGACTTGGTAAGCTCTTCCAAGTTTCCTTTCTAATACTTGTCTAATCTGAGGGTTTTTTTATTTGGTTTCCGTCTAGATTCCGCGGATGAATCGATATCCAAACCCTAATTCTATCCTCGTTTGTGACAATGCTAAGATTCACAAGGGAGGTTGGGTTGAAAGAATTGCACATGAGGCAGGAATAATGATTAAGTATCTTCCACCTTACTGTCCGGAGCTCAACCCAATAGAGCTCTGCTTCTCAGCCTTGAAATACAAACTTTGCCGCTCCAGGATCTTAAATGAGAGTGATGATCCTGAGTGGGACATCTGAGAGACTGTTGATAGTGTAATTACGCTTGAACTGTGCTACAAACATTTCCGCCACTGTGGTTACTCCGTCCCTCTCAAATTATGATTGATCCTTGTCTTTTATTGCTAATATCCTGATCTTCATTCTAATTTTTGCTGTTTGTGGCTCTGCTTGGCTTTTTCAGATATCTGATCGATGTTGTCTTATCTAACTCACTGGTATTGTCTTACTATCTTCTATTATTGCTATTATTTGATATCAAAATTTTACTATATCTCATATTATCTTGTGCAATCCAGAACCAACCCTGATTCAGGCCGGCCCACAATATACGACCTTCGGATGTTTATTGTATCATATCTTGCGAATCCAGATCTCTGATCTAGGCCCATAATATAATGGACGGCCATCGAGCCAATCTTTGGTCCAACTATATAAGAGGAAATATATCGTGGATTTCCCCATGGATACCCCCATGGCTATGACTTGAGCACTTGAGCAAGCCATCAGCCGTGGGCCCATTGGTTAGGCATGGGTAGGTATAGGTATTATGACAGGCATCATAAAATAAAAAGGGGTCCTCAGTGGCTGGTCGATTCTTCTTTCCTCCTCAGACGGCTACCAATTTTTGTGGCCATCCAGACTGTCTCATCCAAAAACCGTCTCTGTACTGTTTACTATACTACTCATAAATATTAGTTAGAATTTATCATTCTCAATGGAGATCTTTCCTAGACCACCAGGTTATGTACTCTGTCCTGAAACTAGGGTTCCGACCCGGACCCCGCAAATCCGGAAGAATCCGGTCAACCCGCGGACGGGTTCTGGGTTCGGGATCGGCTTTGGGAGATCCGGCATCCGGTCGGATGCTGAAAACCCCCAGACCTCGGGGGTTTTGACGGGGAATCCCCTGGTACACCCCGGACGGGGGCCGCTGTGCACTGGGTCTTTTCTTGCTTGACCACCTTTTTTTTGGTGTAATAAAGCAAAATATACACAAAAAAAATTTGTGAAAGATCCGGAAGAACCCGGCGCGGGGCCGGATACCCGCCGGGTTCGGCTGCGGGAGGCGTGAAACCCGGATCCGAGGCACCGGGTCGGAACCCTACCTGAAACCCAACCCAATGAGCCCGCGGTTACTACCGCTGTTACCCCGCCCCCAAGCCTGCCTACCCCTATCATACTTCAGTGCTGTCTTTTTCTTGGAAAATGATAACCCCAATGGCCCTATGGAGCCGACGGTTCAATGGACCAAAGTCACTTCCTCTTCTTTGCTGCGAGCCCAGCCGTGGGTGGTCAACCTTCAGTCCATGAACTGGGACGAGTTCCAACACGGGGGGGGTTGATAAGTGCAAGCCAACCCCCCACGTGCACGCCAACTGCAGATTGGCGTGCGCGCCTGCACGCCATTGCAGAATAGCGTGCAGAAAGGCAAGCCATTTGCCTGCAGGTTGGCGTGCCTGCGTGCACGCCCAACTTTAGGTCCTAAACGCATATTTATATGCGTTTAGGACCTGGGCTGTCCCATAGGACCCAGGCATGGGTCCTATGGGACTCTTTTTTTTTTTTTCTTTTTTTTTCCCCTCGACCTAGAGAGGCCGAGATCACACAGCCGGGAGGAACCCCTCCCGGCTCGCCGGTCTACAGTCCAGCGGAAGGAAACCCTTCCAATGGACGAGATACACGTTGTGGTATGTCCATACCTTTCCATGTACCCTCATTTTTCACAGCATTTTACATATATTCTTCCCATTATTATTTCATATTCAGATTCTACACATTATTTCACCCCTAGTCACCTCTTACAGCTTTTCAGTATCTCTTGTAGTTCTCTAGTTATCATCCCCTCAGTATATTCATAGTTACAGAACAGTACATTACTTTATACATACTGTACATATACATTACACATTATATAGTTACAGTCTCTATGTAGCATCACTCATTCATCATGGTACATCACCATTACTACATACTACACTGCATATTCAGCATAACCATAATTACATACATTAATCAGGATAACCTTAACTACATTACATCATGTACATATTTCCTTTCACACTGCTTTGACTTTCCATACCTGATTAACACTTGTATACACAGAACATCTGTCACTTAGCTACATTATTTCTCATCACTTATTACTGTTCAAGGCTTACATTACCCATAGCCAGGATTTCCCCAGCCATGGTGCCTTACTGTTGTATGTACATGTTGTACACTTATATACTCCTTCTTCCTCCTCATGTATTTTCCCCCTTATGCTATGTACCTTTCCTGAATTATCTTCTAACCATATGTAAGAGTCGCGTCGTGACTCTTCACTATCGTAGCTTATAAGCGTCGAGACCGGCAATGTAGCCGGGAGAGAACGTTTTCTAGAACCAATGTATATCTTTTACTTTTCAATAGTCTAGCTCGGTAGGATAGAAGACAATAGTTCTCTCAGTACAAATCAACAACCTCTAGAATGATTAGAAAAGAGTGAAAGAAATAGAAATGAAAGAAGAACAATAAACCATAAAACTCACCTAGCTCGGTAGGATAGAAGACAATAGTTCTCTACCGAGCTAGGACAAAGGGGAGCTGAAAGAATTTTATTAGTTGAAGATTATGTAATCTTGATGTTTGTGAAACCTGTATGTGGCGAGGTTTCACATTCTCCCCCCCTATAATGTGAATGAAGAATATGAAAGAATATAACTGTGAAGTTGAGGCATGTAAATGAGTCAAGAGAAAATAAGAGATTAATGTGAAAACCGCAGACCAAGGAGAAAGAGCAGGAAAAAAAAAAAAGAAGAGACAAAGTGAAAAAGAAAAGAAAAATTGGAGTAAGACAAAGAGCTGAAATAACGGGTGTCCATAATCGAGTCCAAAGCTTGGGAAACCTGTGGTGCAAACGGGTGTGTGCTCACGACGTGGCCTAGGTTATGTCTTCCAACTTGAATGTAGAATTACCCTGAGGTGCACCAGAGGAGAGGAACTTACTTCTGCTTGCCCAGTGTTTCACCATCCTCTGGGAAGTAGTAAGGTTTGATTTTTGAGATGTGGAAAATTGGGTGACGGCGGTTGCCTTCCGGTAGTTCGAGCTTGAGGTTCTGACCATGATTGCTCACATGTGATACCCGGTATGGGCCTTCAAACCGCTCTTTCAACTTGTCAACCCCACCCTGTTGTCGACCCCTCCAATCCGCCAAGTTGAGAAGAACCCACGAGTTTGGCTCAAGTGTCGCCCGCTCTTTGGTGTGTTTGTTGTGTTGAATGGCTTGCTTCACCCGGCTCGTCCACAACATGTCTCGTGCCTCTTGCCAGGCCCCTTCTCGCCATTTCACCCAAGTTGCCACACATGCCGGAGCCTCTCCCGTACTTTCTGCTGATGGAAACAATGAAGCTTTCCTGCCAAACAACAGTTCGAATGGACTGTACCCTGTTGCAACATTCACAGCTGAGTTGATGGCAAATTCGGCTGCGGGTATTGCCTCCAGCCACTTCCACTGACGTTTTGATGTGAATGTCCGAAGGATCTGACCAACTGTTTTATTGGTCCTTTCGCTCCTGCCGTCTGCTTGTGGATGAAAAGAAGTTGTCATGTGAAACTTGATGTGTAACTTCTCCATCAAGGCCTTCCAAAATGCCGAGGTCCAGGTTTTGTCTCTGTCACTCAAGATTGAGTTGGGCGCGCCGAACAAAGCCAGCCAGCCATTAAAAAGTCGAGTAGCCGTGCGTTCCGCTGTGTCCGTTTGCAGAGCTGGAATAATTCTGGTAAACCCCAACAATCGACAAGTACACGTCAGGATCATATCGTAGTGATTTGACGTCTTTAGTGGGCCCACGAAGTCTATTGCTAAATCTGAAAGTGGTGTCCGTGGAAACGTTGGTGTCAGCATTTTTCCAGTTGGAGCTGTTGTTGGAGCTTTGATCTTCTGACAAGTGTCGCATGATTGTAGGAAGTTAGCAGTGTCCTTTGCCATAAGGGGCCAGAAAAAATCGTGCCGCAGTTCCCCAACTGTCTTCAGGTACCCCAAGTGTCCCAACCGAATGTGTGCATCTTCAATCAACTTGCGTCGTAGACCCACATTGTTGGGAATAACTAGTCTACCATCAATGAATAATAGTCCATTCACCTCCGCACAATCCTCCCGTAGTGGAAGCACTTTCTTCACCGATAAACAGAAGTTATCTTCCGCATAGCTGGCCACAATCTTAGCCTTCAACGTGTCGGACAACTCGCTTCCCAATTCGGTGAGAGACGCCACACACGCCACGTCCGCCTGAGTGATCTCCGATTCCCCTTCCCCCATATTTTTCCTGGATAGTGCGTCCGCCACCAAGTTGTCTTCGCCTTTGATATATTCAAAACGTAAATCAAAGTCCGACAGGATCTCCAGCCAACGAGCCTGTCTTCGACTGAGGTTCCGCTGTTTCAACAAATATCTCAAGGAATGGTGATCTGTCATGACGTTGATCTTCATACCCAGAAGTAGCATCTTCCATTTTTGTAAGGCGTGGATCACCGCCAAAAGCTCCTGCTCGTGTACTGGGTAATTACGTTCCGCCGGTGACATCAGGTGTGACTCGTAAGCTATTGGTGAGGCTTCCCGCCAGTCTTTACCCTGAAAAAGCGCTGCCCCCAATCCAAAGCCGCTGGCGTCCGTGAATAGCCAAAGTGGGTCGTCTGAGGCGTAATCCACGTTCTTGAGACACGGAAGGGATGTCATGATCTTCTTGATATTCTCAAAAGCCCTATCTTCCGCCTCACCCCATTGGAAATCCTTAGTCGCTAGCTTGCTGCTTGTCAAAGGCGTCAAAGTTCCAACATGTTTCTCCAGTCCCCATATAAATTTCTTCATCCACTGTACCGTCCCCAGGAACTTTTTGACTCCTTTCGCTGAAGAAGGTGCTTTCCAATCGAGAACTTGAGCTACTTTTTCGTTGTCTGCGCGGATGCCCTCTGCCGATATCCAGTGTCCCAGAAACTTAACTTCTTCCCGGAATAATTTGGTTTTCTTCGGACTGCAATACAAGTTGGCTGATCGCAACCGTTGTAATACAAGCCGCACATGTTTTTCGTGATCTTGAAAAGACCCCGAGAAAATAACAATATCATCCAGATAAACCACGCATATATCATTGATAAGCTCTCCAAGTGCTTCCTCCAGACGTGCTTGATGAGTAGCTGGTGCGTTAGTTAACCCCATAGGCATAACAACCCATTCCATTAGACCCCAAGGAGTCTTGACTGCGGTGAGTGGTATGTCGGCTTCCCGCATCCGTGTCTGAAAAAATGTGTTGGTCTGGTCCAGGATTGAAAACACTTTTCCTGTGGCTACCATACGAACTAGAGATGTCAGCAGGTACCTGTTTGCAGGTACCCGGTACCCGTTTGCAGGTACCTGTTTTCCAAAGCAGGTACCCGGAAACAGGTACCGGGTGCGGGTGCGGGTGTCAACATTTGCGGTAAAAAAAGGCAGGTACCCGGGTACCTGCCTTACACCCGCCCTGGGAATGCTTCCCCTGAAGAATTTCATTTATCATTGGTGGTCCAAAACTCCCTTTTTTGGGTGTGTTGGGCTGCACAAAGGTGTCAGCAACCCATGTAGGACACCAGCTGGTGTCTTACATGTGTTGCTGAACTAATCTGGTTGCTTTGTTGAGGCTGGAGGGTTCCCTCTGGCCTTTGAGATGGTGTACAGTCTTGATGACTGGAGGAATTCCTCCAGTCATAAAGACGGTGTACAGTCTTCATCAATGGACATTGAATAAGGCAAATGAGGCCAAGCAAAAGGGTAAAGCTAAAGATAGATCAGAGAGAAGATAAAATTCAAATTGGTGATGGAATAATTTGTTTTTCTCTATTTCTTTATTTTTATTTTATTCTTACTCATATATCTAGTGAATATCAATCTTATATTTAACAAGTCATGCAGAAATTCAAGGGTGAGATTTCTGGGTATATTTGCCTGCAAAAATGTTCCAGGTACCTGCAGGTACCCGGCGCAGGTACCCGGGTACCCGCCCTGGCTGCCCTAGCAGGTGCGGGTGTCAAAAATATTGGATTTTTGAGGCAGGTACCCGCACCCGCTACAGGTACCCGGGTATCAAGCGACATCTCTAATACGAACCAGTTCGTCGACATTCGGCAATGGAGAACGATCCTTCACTGTGAAGCTGTTGAGTGTGCGGTAGTCACATACCCAACGGGGAAGTGCCTCCGGGTCCTTTTTCGGTATGATCATACTAGGCGAGGCATATTGGCTGGTTGATCTCCGAATCCTGCCTGCAGCTATATGTTGATCCAACAACTTGCGCCATGCTCCCATGTATTTCTGTGGGTACGCGTATTGACGTTCCTTAATCTGAGCATCTGGGTCCGTCAATATGATTTTATGTCGAACTTTTGAGGTCTCCTGTTGCATTTTCTGGGGGAAAGTCCCTTGGCTGAGTAAATTTTCGGGTCCTTCCTCATCCATAATGGCCGGTATATCTAGTGGGAATAAATCCGAAAATTCCCCTAAGACGGTTTTCTCTGATTGTACACACGGGTAGGTTGCGAAGTCCGCGGATGACAAGCTGAGAGAGTCATTTGTTGTCATTGCATCAACAGCCCTGTAATCTACTATACATCGACCCAACTTGTCGCATATCAAACTATGTTGTGAAATAGAAACAGAAAGATGGAAATGAGATAAAAAGGGAATCCCCAGAATCATGTCGTAGTTTCCCGCCACCGGTCCCAGGCTGAGTTCAACATTATCAAAGCTTAATTCCGATTGTGTGTCCGCCAACGTAACCTTTGTAAAATGTTTGAGAATTAATGGGGTCCGCGATTTGTCATTCAGCGCTAACGTGACTCGAGTAGGGTTTGTTAGGTTCAACATGGGGAGCCCCATGTCTTTCACCGTTTGATCATTAACTAAATTGATCTCGGCCCCTGTATCAATCAGGCCAAGTAAGTAGCGATCCCCGACCTTAAAGCGAATTATGAGCCGCCTGGGCACGTTATATGGCACTAACCTATCTTCTGCCGTCGCGCGAAGCTCCTCATCAATAGCTGCAAACGCGGAGACGGATGCCGCATCCAGGTCAGGGAACACGTTGTGTTCACTGACCTCGGCCACCGATGCTGATTGATTGGACGGTCGTCCCGCTGGTGGAAGAATTGGCTTCCCCGCCTATGAGGTCGTCTGCCCCATTGCCCTGGGTGGCTGATAATCCTTCGGCTTTGGTGGAACGACGAACGTCGAAGGAATCTCGACCGGAGACTTGTCGATTGGGCCAGCACACTTACCTGAAACGCTACCACACTGCTTCTTGCAGAAGTGGCACTTCCCTTGAGAATCCAAGAACGAGTGGATTCGCCAGACGAATTCCTCCTTGGATAATCGCAGTGACTGTGGGTTGCTTGTTGATACCGCCGGTGTGGAGTTGAATCTCGTTTTTGCTCCCAATGTGGATTGCTTGACGATTCCATCCCAGAATCCACTCGCTCTGCTCTCAAACCAACCGAAATCGAATGGATCTTTCAAAAGTAATTGATGGTTGTGTATCTCTGATTGGAGATAATCACTCGACCCTAGTGTCATTGATTCCGCCAAATCAAAATCCGATATCGCCTCCGTTTTGAGGTCAAAATTTAGCATGCTTTGAAGCGTGCGGGATCGTGTGCTGTATGTGAGGAACGACTCCGAATTCGCCATTCGGAGATTCTTGAATTTCCCCTTCAACGTCGTACGCTGTGGTGTTCTAAACGGTACAAGCCTCCTCAAGCTCGAATTTCAAATTTCAACTTTCAACTCTTCAATATCCTCAAGACTCAAGATTTCAATATTATCACCTCAAATCCCCACTCAGTCCAATGGTTTCCTCATTTTATTATTTTATTTCATTTCCTCTTATTATTTACTCTTCATGTTATTTTTTATTCATCTTGATTTTATTTTATTTTTATTTTTTATCATTTTATTATTCTTACTTATCTCTTTCAAATCATTTACTCAGAAGACAGTGTTGTTTCTTATTTCTTGGTCCTAAGACATAGTTTCATTTATGTTGGTTTATTCTGATCTTGTTTGTTTGTTCTATTCTGTGTTCTTCTTTTGTTCTTTTGTTGTGTTGTGTGTGTTGTGTTGTGTTGTCTTTGTTTTCTGGTTGAGTTGTGTGTAGTTAGGGATGTGATGACATGTCTGTGACATGTCACTCCCCAGAGTCAAAGTTCAGTTTGAACTGAGATGATGGGGAAGCATGGCACTCTGATCTGATCCAAGATAGACCCATCAATTCTTATTGATCCTTTTATCATTCATTCATCTGATCCTCACACCCACCGATCCTCAAGCTCAACAACCGCCACAGAACTCAATTTCTGTTGTCTCCTCTCAGAAAACCAACCAACCCCAACACATTTCTTGTTCAGATCACAGCTCACTTATCCGGACCCCACTTGAAGGCAGCCCTCAAAGCACTTTCCCTTCAACCAACTGCCTACCGCCTGGCACGATAGGAGTTCCACAACGCCAGTTCGACGGGAGTGCGAATCCGATGAGCTTAGTCCTGAACTCGGACCACGACTTCCCAAGAAATCATTTGAATCCACTGGCGTAGAAAGCAATCATATTAGTCTCCCTAATGAGACTGCCGATGACCTGTATCTTGTTGTCTTCATGCTTAACGCCCTTTGTAGCAAAAAAAATTTGAACGCTTCGAATCCAAGTGATGAAGCGTTCGACATCTTGAAATGGACCGGAGAAGACGGGTCCATCTGACAATCGAAATCTCTGTAGATCAATGCGGCCCATTTCGACCTGATTGGAGGTTGTTCCCGGGTCTGGCTTAATCGACATCTTGAGGACCGCTTCTTCTAATCTCGCGATCCGATCCGCATCGGCTTGACGGAGCTCCCGCTCATACTTTAAACTCTCTAGGGCTGCGCTCCGATCAATATTAGCCTGATCGATGCTCTGATGTTGCAGTTTCATCAGTCCTTTCAGGTATTCATCCATCGACAATGGAGTGATCGGCTTCCCGTTGTTCAATGATTCCGGGGCTTCCGACATCGTGGGCGAGGGCGGAAGAGCTGGTAGATCGCCGATGTTTGTTCCAGTTGCGTGAGTTTTTTGTTTAAGAGCCTTTTCCAATCTTGCTTGGCGACGTCCTTCTTTTAAGATGGCCTCCGGATTGGTTAGAGGGAGTAGTGGTTCTGGATTGGACCGAGTTGTCATCAATTGGTCACAAGTACCAGTAAGTAGGTTCGAGAAATAAAAAGTGTAAGAGTCGCGTCGTGACTCTTCACTATCGTAGCTTATAAGTGTCGAGACCGGCAATGTAGCCGGGAGAGAACGTTTTCTAGAACCAATGTATATCTTTTACTTTTCAATAGTCTAGCTCGGTAGGATAGAAGACAATAGTTCTCTCAGTACAAATCAACAACCTCTAGAATGATTAGAAAAGAGTGAAAGAAATAGAAATGAAAGAAGAACAATAAACCATAAAACTCACCTAGCTCGGTAGGATAGAAGACAATAGTTCTCTACCGAGCTAGGACAAAGGGGAGCTGAAAGAATTTTATTATTTGAAGATTATGTAATCTTGATGTTTGTGAAACCTGTATGTGGCGAGGTTTCACACCATAGTCTTAGAAATCAGAAATACTAGTATCACCCTTATATCTTTACCCGATATCATTGCCAGTTATATCTGCCAGTTATACATCCCCCCTTGCCAGTTATAAATCCTCATTTGCCAGATTATTCCCCTTGCCAGTGTCATTCCTCATTGCCAGTGTTACACCCTTGCCAGTATTATCCCATCACACCTCATTCCTCCTCCTTCTCACACCTCAGTAGGTACTACATACACAAGCTCATCAGTAATAGCAGTCTAAGATAAAGTAGAAATCAGCAACACCTCTATTCTTCTTTTTCTTAGTGTTACACTCTTCCCATCAGCATTGTACAGGAGGTCAGCACTCATCAGCACCTGTAAGCATCAACTTACAAATTAATAACTACCACCAGGGTTGTTTTTCTCAGTGTTACCCTGCTTTCCAGTGCCATCAGTGAACTCGGGCATAGATCTCGTTGGAACCTTGTAACATCAACATGTTGATTAATGCTACAGCAGGGGAGATTTACTCACCACCTGGTTTCAAGAGCCATCAGTGAACTCGGTCACTAGATCTGGTTGGAAGCTATGTTACAACACATGTGTAGATATGTACGGAAGATATGTACCGCAACCTGGTTACAAGACATGTTGATAGTGAACCACAACTTCTATTCGATATATCATAGAATACATGTGTAGAATGTACCCCAGACCTATGCTGAATACCAAGTTTGGTTTGTGAGGGCAAACCTATGCTTGGTAAGAATTTAAACTTTGAAACCAAATTTTTTTTTTTCCCA